AAGCGAATATCATGATGATAACGTTATCATTGCTAAAGCATTTTAATGACATTAAACCATCGTATTTTTTCCTTCGGAGAAAATTGAAAGACTATTTCTCAATTTTGGTACAAAGCCGTTCGTTCTCTTTATAAAAAAGGCCATGCCCTTAAATGTTAAAAGCGTGACCAGAGAGGTCTCAACCGGATATCATTATTGCATCTATATATCTGCACTTCACCGGATGGATGTGGCTGTTGATGTTATCTCTTATGTTCCGGAGCGTTATTTATTTTGCACGGTGCGTTGCTCCATTTAGCTTTTCTTTCTGCATCGAAAAGTAGGTTCGAGCAAAAATGCGAGTACGACAAATGCAACGTCACGCGCGTAACTTTGCGAATCGAAAACAAAAGTACGATGACTTTGCACATCCCGCTGTGAGGTATTCGCTGAGTGAGTACGCGTACGTTGTATTTTCGGGTCACGGGGGCAAGGATGATTGGCGCCAGGTGAATTCACTTTAATAAGATTAGTCAAATATAAATTCTTTTAATATATAAAAATAGTATTTCTGTATAATTTGCTGCTCAATCAGTTTATTGTTACGGAACTTATATATCTATAAATTTAAATTTCCGCAATTTAAAATGAAAGTCGAATTATCAAAAATTGCTCTGGAAGAAATTTTTCTGTCAGAGAAAGAGAACACTGAATTTGTGAAAATTTGATTTGTCATTAATTTATTTTTATTGTTAAAAATCGCTCTTAAGTTATCTAAAACCAGTCACTTACTTTAGCTACTTTAAAATACGATTGTTTTATATTCACAATACGTGATGGCTTTCACAGTTTTTGTCTCGCAAATTTTACGTGTCGACGTCGGGATGATCGAAGTCTATTGAAGCGTTTAATATCGCCGTGGGTTCCTGGTTACAAGCAGACACTATCTTTAGAATAGCGCCACGATCATCGGGACATGCAAATGTAGCACGCTTGTGAAGCCTCGCGCGAAATTAATTGCGTGTGATGCAAATATGTCGCTCCGAGAATTTCTCTCGTTCGCTTCGAACATGGAATTGTATAACACATGAGCTTCTTATGCATATATTAAGTCCAGCAAAGAAGCATGAATTTTCGAAAGAATTGACAGCGAAGAGATAAATTATAAAATGTTTATACAAAATAACTTAAATTATTTTTTACATAACCGTTATTCTTTTTCAGATATTTTTGGATATTATAAACAAATTACTGCATGCATTATAACTACGTGGATTTGTCGTATATAATAATAGTTAAAAGTGTAATTATTTTTTACGAGAAAAATAGAAAAAGAAATTTAATGTTGCTTATTTAATTAGCGGGCATTTTCTATATTTTTTTAAAATATAGATATTAAATTCAATTCAATTAAGGATAAACATTTAACAATTTAATAAAATTCAAGGCGTTATTTGAATATCACGAACATTTTAAATATAATAATATAATAGAATCTGTTCCAATATTTACAATGTTGCTCTAGAAAGGATAACGGGCATGCAGGAAGCGAAATCGTAGGAAATAATACGTTGCAATCGGGTCTCCTTCATTCCTATCAATTATTCTGCCTTTCGTCGTTACACGGTGTTGTTTAGCGACTACATTGGCATGGTAAGGCGTTCGCCAAGGGTTAAACCCTGTTATCGTTATCGCCATCATCCTGTTTGCAAAAACGAGAAGTCGTTCTTTTCAACCTGCGACTTTTACGGCACTGGTCGGCTTACTTTCCCGGTAGAAACATGCGCTCCTTACACGCGCCGAGATGATATCATTAATATGTGTAGTTGCACATTCTCGATATGTAAACTCGATCTAATCAGCATAACTAGCCCTTCACAACGTTCCTAACGAGCTTCGTAAAATTCTCACCTTCCCTTATCCTTCTCTTTTTCTTTCCTTCGTCTTTCGTTCCAATCATCCTCCTACATGAGAAGATCACCTGGAGCGAGGAACTCGAGAGTGCACCCAACCGATCTGCTATAAAACTTTAAACCGTTCTAGAAAATCTCGTTATCTGTTAGATACCAAATTTAATGAGCGTTGAATACTCGAATAATTCCGCGAATTGAATCAACTGATAATCGTCATGCCTGAATGCACTGGTTCGTGGGACTTGACCAATGAGATAAAAGTAATCGGTACAAGAGATTTAAAAAATTGACTTTTTGTTAAAATTGTTTCGCTTAATATTTTCCAATTGATATTTCATTAAAGATTGCAAATATATGTATATAATGAGCTGCGACAGAACTGTTGTCGTTATCAGTGAAATCCAACCAATCCTGTGATGTTTTATGAATTCTAGCAGAGTCTTACGCAGTTTACTAGATACTTGAAAATATCGTTACTAATAAGAATCTTACACACACACTTAAGTAGGTATTTTGTAACAGTTCCACGTTTTATGTTTCTTAATTGTTTTTATGATAGAGTTATTCTTTTATACTTCGAAAATAATATATACACGATCGTTATGTTTTCCGCTTTCTCGCAATACTCGGATTACATCTCATTAATAAAAGACGAGAATATTGCGTGCCCTGAAAAGGCAATAAGAAAATCGAAGACGTCGTCCATGACGGGATGGAAGGGTACGGATCGGTGAAAGTATGTTAAAATGTGAAAGTCAATCGCTAATTAATACTTCTTTTAATTCGACTTTTTATTTATTTTATTTGTTTATCGATGTAATCAGTAAGTGATAAATGACTATTCGGAGAAGTGCATGCGCTGTGCGCGTGTCACCAAACGGAAGTCGTTCTTTACATTCGAAACGACGGAAACTTTCCAGTGTAATTACAAATGTCGCGGAAACGACTCGAGATGTCATTGCATAACTTGACGGTTTGCTAACGAATTTTTATTTGTCATCGGTTTCATAAGATTCAAATATCACCTGTTGATGACGCTTTTAACCTGATATGTTCGCAAAAAAAAAAATCGCAGGTCATTGCTGATTTTGCCATTTACTTTCACCACGTTTCATTTCCAGATTCGATATGGTTGCAGAAACTACCACGATAACCCATTATTAATGTCTGAACGGTAGTCATGTATTAATAGTTGGCAGATCGTTAGTTATACTTGTAACTATTGTACATAAAATCTCGTGATATTTACAGTTTCAAAGTATTTTATTATCTTAAGCTCGAAAAAATTGAAGAAAATTAATGAAGCGTAAAATTATATAATGATAAGTAAAAAAAAATGTAATAAAATACGATAGAAAGTTTAAAGTTTTCTTTTAATTTTCTCTCTCTTTCTCTAATGTTTATAAAACAGAAAATACAATTCTAATTGTAAAACGGATTAGAAAAGAGACGTGTAAACAATATAGGGTTTGTTTTCTGTAGTTAAACTAATGTACACTTTCAAAACTTATATGAGATAGGTTTATGTTATGTTTGATATATATTTAGAGCGAGAAAGAGAGTTCTAGTGCAAGAATAAAAAAACAGACTTATATAATTAGAATAATTCTTAATTGCAGAAATATAAGGAATTTAGAAACTTAGAAATATATTTTATCTCTATAAAAAGTAATTGTAAGTCAAAGAAGAATGCAAATTACTACAGATATACTTGTATGATTTTTTACCAAGTTTAAAGGAAGTTATTTTTAACATTGTCGCACGTTGCCAAAGCTTGTGGATAATCTACAATTTCGATTCTGCATGATTATTGGAACGCATCTTTCAGAAATGATTTAAAGCGACAATGTGCTATCTGGTATCTGTCAATTCGAATTAAGATGTACACATGCGTTCGCTGATTATAACATTCATAACACACGTGCATTGCATCGATTTTAATTAACCTTTATAGGATGAGACAGCCATTATAGTGACACTGAAAGTTATATTTTGAGGCAAATACAATGAAATAATGAGTGATAATATCTTATTCAGGAAAAGCTATAAGATTTAAAAAATAGACTAATGGGCCAGCAGAAAGTAGGAAAAAGCCATCTCCTAAATCTTAAAGAACAAAAATAATTAAAATTGCTCAAACAGACTATGTTTAATGAGTTTTGTCAAAAAATTAATTTTAGAAAAAAGAAAGATTATTATAGAAAGATTTTTTAAGAATACAAGACGGCTGAAGTGTTATAAATTTAAGTTGTTTCAGTTCGAAATATCAGTTTACAATTTTAAGAGAAAAATAAAATTAATTAGTAAAATAAATATATGATTTTGTGATTTACCTGCCAGCAACTAATTAAAATAATAATATAAAACAAAATAACAAGTCCAATAATCCATTCGACTACCCTTCTCCCTTTCGGGATTCAAAAGTCTCAATTCTAATTTGACCTCCCTCTTAAACAAAATCCTGATTACACTCATGCTCTGATCCTAAAGATCAATACAAATACATATTATTATATATCGCATTGATCACGTGCGCTCGTAAATTTCAAATTTCAACGCCAATGGTCGGCAACGGAAGAGTTTTCATAGTCGATATTACGCACACGTCTTCCACGGTAATAGGTGTGGAGCGGAGAACTACTTGGCCGAGTCATTAATGCATCATTGGATGCAGGGAGGAACATAGTACTAGTCGATTAGAAAACCGTTCTAACTATATGTGCGTTCGCACCTTGTTTCACGCATGGATCGCCGGCGGCCATCCTCATTAACGAGACCTCGCATTATCAGCGCGTCGTCGAAGTTTCTAAAGAGCTTGCGTTTAGATCCTCTAAAGCCTGACATGAGACTATCGCGATAGCCTGCGGATTCATATACGTGACTGGCGTCGCCGTTGATGAAAGCCTTCGCTATTCTAATTGACTGATGGATGAGAAGCTATGACTAGCACGCGCTATCTATTGAGTTAAAAAGATGATTAAAAATAACTAGTTTTTTTATAACATTTTTTAGATATAATGAAGTAAACCTTGACTTTTCATTGTTAGCTCAATTTTTATTTGCGATTGTATTTAGAGATTTATCACATGACGTTTTGAAAAACCTCCCAAAAATACATTTCGCATAAAGCGATCATGAAAGCAAAAGAAAAGAACAGTCTGTTTCAAGTCGTTTATTAACTAAACTAACTCCTTGACTTTGTCGTATTGAGCTATTGGATAAATCCTATCGTTATTCTTTTATAAGAAAAAACGGCACTATCCAGAATTGTTTTTCAGCTTCTTCATTTTCTCAGTTAATATTGGTAGTCGCATCTGTTATGGATAGAGCAGAATATTCAGAAGGTTGAGAGTTTCTTGCGCCGTTCGATTCTCTTTTCGTTTTGTACTTGAGAACTCGATGAAATAACGAGAAATAAGGAGACTTCTTGAAAAAAGAAGCAACAGTCATCGGTACAATTTTGTATTTCGTTGCTGTTAACGTCATCTCCGAGGAAGGCCACGATGTGAGACTCGACGCAGATTAGCGTTGTAGGGTGCAAGTCTCAGTACTGCGAACCTTTGTCCTCTGGTAGCAAGAAATAGATCGTCACGTCACCTCGAGGCGTCTTCACGATCTCACGGTGTCGGATAAGCTGCGTCGCAGCCAGTCCATACATCAGAGTAGGGATACCTGGTACATCGAACAAATGTAAGGAAACAAAAAGTCAGAAAGGAGGATTATCAAGTCGTCGTATTGCTGAACCCGTTCGCCATGGCTAATTCCAGATCGGTAGAGCACTCAATGAGACAAGACATTGGCTGTGGAAGGACAACGTGTTCGTCGTCCCACGTTGCTTCTCGTATGTCGGAAATTAAATCGAGTAAGACCGCGGTCTGTGTTACGACGCCTTGTTCCGATCGTTGCTTTAGATACTGACTGAATTAATCACGCGGCGGTAACTGTGAATTTACAGTGTCTCACACAGTCTCGGAACTCCCAATCTTGGTGGCAAACTAATTTCTTTATGAATTTGTGTGTAGTATTTTTTTTTTAAGATTTTTATGATGCTGTCATATATAAATAAGTAGTATATACATATAATTTATTGCAGTATTAAAAACTTTGATCTCAACTCTTAAATCAAGATTGTAAAAAGGAAAAGAATTTCGCTTCAATAAGAATTTAATTAAATTTAACTGAACTAAATTTTCCGAACCTTTTCCTTTATTTTTAATCATCAACGAGTTAAAAATAATCGATACAATAAAAAAAATTATTAAATCTTAATATATAGTTTTTCGAGTAGTATACTGAATAAACATTAAGTTACAGTAAATAAATATTTACTCAAAACTATTCAAACAAATATTTATTAAAATTTAATATATTTTTTTCACTGTATTTTTTTTTCACTGTCTCTGCATTTCAATTGAAGTAATAATCTTTATAGATTTAAAAAAACAAAGAATCTCATTTATAGAATTAATATCGAGGATTCCATGACATTTCGTGTTCGCGGTAATTATAGGATTTACGAGCTCGCCGGTTTATCGCATCCGAGTGGCGTAAATGAACAAGGCCACCTTTCCGAACGCGAATTTCTTTTCACGAGCGTCCGGCTACCATTGCAACCTACCAAGGTTCAATATCTTGATCGCCTTGAAGAATCTGTCCTCGCTACTGAGATCCTGCATCGGCCGCTTGCTACAGTGATACTTGATGTACGGGAAGCAGCCGGTCCTAAGTACGTGATAATTGCTGCCGCCCGCTGGCCAATTGAAGTGTGACATTCCCCGCTGATTATTCACCACGTCGGCGTATCGGACGAAGTATGAAGTCCAAGGGGGTTCGTCGGTTTGCAATAGGTAGCTCGTTAGGACCTGCATTGAAGATACCGCAATCACGTCGGGCCACTTTGTACACGTTGACTGATCGAGGAAATATCCTCGGGGATCATCACGAGCACGCGGGACAAAGTCGCAACCGTTACATCCCGTTACGACGTCTCTTCCTCGACGCGTCGACTCGTTAACACCGCCGTCAAGCTGGCCCTTCCGGCTTTCCGTGTGTATAGAAGAAATTAACCCGCCGCAATGAAAGTATTAAAAGGAGGGATTTTAAGAATTTGCGCATGCCATTCGGAAATGACCAGACAGTCGCTATAATGTCGTTTTTCAACGTACGATCATATTACTTGTATATATTTTTGCCGTTTCACGTTACCGCAGGACGGGATTAAATTGCACCGGCAGGAGTAACTTTGCACCACAGTAAAGTAAGATTCTAGAATTATCCAATGTTCAAAAAAAAAAGAGGAAGAATTGCAATGGATACTCTATGAAGATTTCAAATTTATGAAATCATAATAATTACATATAAAAAGTTTCTGCATTGCGGCACAGATTAAAGCAATTTTTAAGAAAGTATGACATCAAACGCGAAGAGTTTATATTTAATAATAAATAACTTTAATAAAAGAGTTTATGTCTAATACCTGCATTGAGAAAAAAAAATTTGTTCAACGAATTAAATACATTTAGTTGTTTGTAGATTTGGTTAATTCAACAAATTTTATTTAATAGAATTTGTCGAATTAACCAAATCTGCAAACAACCAAATTTTTAGTTAGTTGGACAAATTTTTTTTCTCAGTGTGTCTGAATGAAATGTACGTTAATTTTATAAACAATACTGATTATGAAATCGCAAAAATTATCATTTTTTCTATATTTAGAGGAGTAAAAATATAAATTGAGTTGTTTTCTCTCTGGATAAGTGCTGTACTGCAAATCTATTTCAAGACTGTAAGAACGCTCGGAAGTAATTTGCAACTTGTGCAATCATTCGGTGGAATACACAATATACTTGAAACTTGGATACTTGGAGTCTGTTCGACTGGGAAGAATTACGTGCTTATCACAGTCGTGCGATCGCGTAGTGGCACGGGAATGGAGACACGCTAAGTGTAACACGAGCGTGTATTGTTACGTAAGAGTGTCCGGGGAAAGTGCGCACGGTCCTCTGAGAAAAGATCTCCTTCGGGCCGATAAAAAATACAACGCGTGAGATAATTAGGGGAGTGGCCGAATTAATTCATGAGAAACTGAGAGACCCACTAACCTCTGAAGCTAACGGTTTCTTCTTCTTCTGGAATATCTTTGTCCAAAGATTAACATATCTCGTGGAGAACACTGCTCTCGATTTGATGCTCGAGTTGATTATCCGTGACTGCATTTCACTGATCAATTTCTGATCAAATTTGCGCGATCCCCATTGATCTTAAATTTTATAAACAAATTTTGAGAAAATTTGTTTCTTTATTAGAGTATTTTTTTTATTAAAGACCATAAAATAAAAAGATATTTATCAAATATATTAAAGATAATTACCCAAGCAATTATCAAATGTAATAACTTTTCTTCTTTTGAAAATAATGAATGTATAGGAAAAAACGGGATAAAATATTTTATTTGTTATATTAAAAACATTGACATTACAAGGATTGTAACCACAATTAAAAATTAGATCAGAAATCTAAAAAAAGAGAGCAAATTTTATGAGGTTTTTTCCATAAATAAAGTTGCGGAGATCTAAGCGACTTTCAAGTTATTAAAAGTTTCATAAAAATCGAATATTCTCTTTAGCTAATTTTACTTTACTAAAAGTATCAGAAAATTTAACATGAAAGATTTATGAGGAAGAATGAATAAAATGTTTGTCATCGAGAGAAGACAGCCATACACGTCAACTGAAGAACATGCTGTTGGAAAGAGCGGCAATGGTTCTAAGAGAGTCTGTACATAAATAGATGATGATAGAAGAAATCATACTCAATAGTATCGCTTATCGACCCGCAGGGTAGGAATTCGTCATGGGACATGTCGTTCTGCCTTTCTAAAATAAACGCGCGGCAAGAGAGTTGCTCAAAATGTCAAGGTTAACAAGGTTCAATATGATCGCACGGTGGAAGCGAATCGTGTCCCGCAGTGTAACGTTAGCGTTTCTGTCTTTTATGCGTGTTTGCGTCAGAGCGGAATGAGTAACAACGTAATTGATGGCGCGCGTGCGTCAACTTTTGCACATCAGCGTGCGTGAATTCGCCGCTATGCGATTCTGATTGCTTCATCGAGGTAGTCGCGAAGTTCCAGGAATACTTTGAGCGATGGGTGTCGTAATTGTACGAAGTTGGATTACCAGTTAATGTTCAACACGCCGTTATTCATGCCATGCAGTTTCATATTTGTCGTTTGAAAACGTTCGGTTTTGTCGTCAATTTTTATTAACAATTATCTAATCAAGTCTAATGCGTTTCCATCAATGTAGATTAACTTTTAGGAGCCTGTTCTATAACTCTTGTTAACGACTGTAGTGTTACATTGTCTTTGCGCAGGTTTTTTACCATGTACAACCTGTGTAATGATACTGTAACATTACAGTTACAGCCGTTAAGAGCTACAGAACAGGTCCCATCATCTCGGTTTAACTTACATCTTTTTCTAATTCTTAAACCGGTATTCATAGACCATTTCTGTTTCAAGATCATCTGAAGTAACGTATCTTAAGATATTAATCCGTCATTGGTTTATGACATCTTAAGACTGTACTTAAGATGGTCGTAAATATAAGAACCAATACCGGCTATAAAATTAGAAAAAGATGAAAAATAAATTGAACTAAAATTAAAGCAGGATTGGCAACATTATCTCATAAAAATAACTTCTTACCGTTCTTTTTCCTAAAAAAATAACTTGTCGTTATCGTAACTTGTTATTGATTTGCAAAAGTAACTCGTTACCATACCGTCAATCAAAATGTAATGAGTTGTTACTTTTTGTTCTTGATACTAATAGAATATTATAGCGTTTTTCATTGACAAAACTTGTGCTTATTTATTGTTAGTGTATATTGAAGCCGTTGTATGCTAATCTAAATGTAAAAATAAGATATTTGAGATGATATAATGCTAAAGTATACTTTATCAAATAGCATAATAAAATGTATTGAAGATTTCGCGATTCAACTCGTTTCTATATTTTTATTAACCATACATCTTTGCGTCGATTGTACAGCGGCTTTAAAGTGCACTGAATGTGCATTAGTTCTGCCAATGAAAAACTCTATTGTATGCAGATTCTTACGTTATAACTATTATGATTTTTACATTATTAACTATAAAAAAGATGTTAGAATTCTATTTTCTAGTAGAAGAATAAAACTCAAATACTGATAAATGTGCGTGCGTGCGTGCGTGTGTGTGTTGTGTGTGTGTGTGTGTGTGTGTGTGTACACATATGTATATATGCTCCAATTACAATTAAAACTTTTACGTAAATAAAAATAAAAATAAAATAACGAAAAGTAACTAGTAAAATCGTTATCATGTAACCAAAAATGTAACTGTTTTACTACGTTATTCAGAAGAAAATGTAACGTTACTCAAGCGTTACTTGCCAATCCTGAATTAAAGTTAATATTAATAAAAACAAATATTAATGAAGAAATACGTTCTTCAGCAAATATAAAACTCCTTTGAAATTTTTGCGCACTTATTTTTAAATGGCAATAGAAAGTGAATACTTTCTACTGGCTGATAATAGTCAGACAATCGGAAATGTACAGACTGAATCTCGTTCTTACTCGCATTGCAAATTACGATGGGGCGATAACCTTCTGATCTAATTCTTTCTTATTGTTACAATAATATTTAAAAAATCGTACTGCGAATTTAAATTAACTCTGTGTAATCGCGTTTGCGGAATTTCATACTTTTCCGCTGCAGATATCAATCAAATAAGTACAGTATACATTTGTAATTAGCTCTTATCTATCTTACTTTCTTCGATATTAATTCTGCAAGAATTGCACTAATAAATATCTGTTTAAGAAAAAAACTAGAAGAGTCTTGCTAAGATTTTTAAGATTTTAGTATATTTGAAATCTGTTATATCTATATCACTGCTGGCTCACTCTTTCACGCATGCGTGAGGCTATTGTGTTGGCAAATAGATGGCTGCAGTCATTGGGCCAGTAAATGCTGCTCGATGCTGCTCGATGCTGCTCGATGCTGCTCGCTTAAGGACTACTTTACTTGGTACAAACGTCATAAATACCGACACTCACGATTTACAGCGTGCATATTCTCACATGGATACAGACGCATATAATTTTCTTTCGCGATTGAATAAATACAAGTGAAGATAAAGTATTACGCAGCATGTGCTGTGGTGGTTACATAATTGACATGGCACGAAACTCAGAGCGCCGCCGTCGTACAGTATCGATTCCGTATGGCGGTCTCTTTGAAAGGTTTTCTCTGTTTAGTATTCTTTGGATCTTTTGGACACGACTCGTGAATGAAAGATTGAAACCGAAGCGAGAGTAAAGTACTATAAATATAATGTTTAACTTGTTCACTTAAAAAATTATATGATATTATTATATTTTTATTATAATAATTTATTTTTGCGTTGTACTATGTTTTTTTTAAGAAATAAATGTAAAAAAGTTATTACTAGGAATGAATTAAATAAATATTAAAAGTGAATTAGCTTTATAAATATAAAAAAATCGTCAAATCGTCACAATTCAAAAAGAATGATTTTTTTAAAAGAATTATATGAAACAAAAATGACATTTGATCATCTTAAGAATATTGTATATTCTTGTATGTACGGTTGTATTCTTTTTGCAGATATATAATTAGTTAATAATTTTCTAAATTGAAAAATATTTTTTCTCTTTTTTGAGATACTTAATTTTTTAAGTTGTATTTTGAAGTAAGGAAGCGATATTATATTACATAATTAAAAAAACTTGTTTACTTTAAAATACTTTTTGAAGATGAAAATTAATTATGATCTTACGTGCGATCCCTTCAATTTCGAATAATACCTGAATTACAATGTATATAAAATGTTGTATTGAAAAGATTAAAATGCAAATCAAAGTTACGACGACTCAAGATAATTTGTTGCCGTGTGTTTTATTGTTATGCTCTCTACCCCATAATTTTCACGCGACAGGCGTGGCGGTCTTCACTAAAGCATTCTCTTCAATAAGACCGTCCAATAATAGACTATTAGAAAACGTGGATGAGGAACCCCTTCTAAGCATTTCCAGGTGGTAAATATACCGCCGTGGCCTCGTGGCATGAGGTCAGACTGTCCAAGCAGCAGCCTTGACAGGCTATCATTCTCGACGAACTTGCGGTACATCTTGTTTTCTCATTTCCATGCAGCGGGCTCTTTTTTCATGTTTACATCGGTTGGACTTGTTGGAGGCACGTCTTCTTCTTAAGAATGGCAAGACGATTTCGATACGACATTTCGATAAGTACGGATCATAAATCATAGATAAGGACAATAAGAAAAATGCACGGTATTTCTTCACCAAGAATAACTTTAGCACTTTGTAATTCTTGGGAATAACTTATGTCCCAGTTTAAAAGTGAAACTGAAAAATAAAACAGATTATATCCAAGAAGACAATTTCTAGACTTTAATAATGGAGTTCTTTATTTATCCTGCAAGTACTTGCAAGTACTTCTTTCAAGATTTCTTCCTGTAATTTGTCGGTCACGTTTAGAAATAAATTATGACTACATTGAATAAATTAAATACATCTCTCAATGTATTTAAAGGAGATTATTTCTGCATAATAATATTGCATAATAATATCATTTATATCGAGACTGCTCTTTCCACATTCTCTCAATGAAACCACTTCTGATGTTGTTTTTCGCCGCCGGCAGATATTGATTCGGAGTGAACTATCTACGCGATTGCAATTGCACATATATATTATATTTGAAGGTCGAAGCGTGTCTAGCTGACAATGTCAGCGTTGCACTTCCGCTAACGTGATTTATCGTGCCTATCACCATCCGATTTGCGCGTGACACATTTAGCCAGTCAATTTAGAGTAACGCGCTCATGTCACATGACCTAGTTAACACAACGGCGTTTCTAGACTATCATGACATTCGTGACATTAACAAATGATAAATCTTGTTCATTTAGTTGCTGTTTGGAACGACAAAATGGCTGCGACCTGCAAAACGAGTGCCTCACATAATAATCTTCGCGATCTTTTCCTCGACGCATTATGTCCGTTATGATTCGGACGGTATTGTGAATTATTATCTTTGATGTACCTCTTTATGCATTATGCTTTTGTAGGTGCATACGTACCACTTTCATCAGGCTTTTTTATTTCGCTCGTGAAATTGTGCCAAGAAAATAATTGCTATAAAAGTCACATTTGTAGAATATTTTGCGCTCCATTTTTTTTCGACAAACGAATTTGTTCGATTCTGATTCAACAAGTAAGACGACTTCTTATATGTAATGTGTATAAATATTTAAGAGAATTCAAACACACTGAAAGAAAAGATTGGTTGAATATGGCATAGCATTTTTAATTGGTTGCAGTAGCCAATTTTTGATTGCGTTAGACTATTGATACTATACTAACATTATAGGTAGGCTAAAACCAAAAATTGGCTGTTATAGCCAATTAAAAATGCTAGGTCATATTTTACCATCTAATTTGCTGCAGTAGCCAATCTCTTCTTTCAGTGCAGCACATGTTATCAGTCCTCTTTTGCATCGTAAATAAATCCAGAATAGTATTCATAATTCGAATTGGAATGCAAGTATCGTTATGTAAAATTGGCGATAAAGCCTCTATAAGTGAAACTATACCTCGTGGATGATAGCATCATCAAGATGTCGCTTTCGCTCTGTTTTAAATGAGTGCCATCCTGGTGGCTATAACGCAGCGAGTACACGTGCGAATCTATATATCCGGACTATTCGTGGAGTCTTATCATTCTATTTCAGAATTCCCGTTCACGATCACTCCGAGTCCGCGTCTTCGGTTGCCACACCTAGCATCGTTTTCACATACCGCCGCGACTTATACAGCGTCCTATAAATTATGATCGTATCTCATTAACATCCACGTGTTTATTATAGCTGCGCTATTAACGTGCACGAGCGACGATGGGGGATGCTTAAATCTAACAGTTTTTCCAATATTCTCATCGTCAAACAGGAAACTAACGTTGCGACAAAATTCAAGTCTTTTTTTTGTAAGAGAAAAAGAGGAAAGCTGCAAGGATCGATCTAAAACGTTGAACTAAATTGTTTCCATGAAACTTTTACTGAACGTTTTAGTGGGTTACAGAACCATACTAGTGAAAGGATTTTATGTAGCACAATGATAGAATGATGATAGAACCTACGATGCATTCCATTTTTCAGAATTTAGAAGAAAGCAAATAAAAAAGACCGAAGGTCATTCAAATGACTAAAAGAATGTACTGCGAAGTTCATAAGATTAATGAATTAATATATAATCACAAAAAAAAAACGAAATATTGAAAAGGCGGCGCAATCCTGTTTCCAAGTCACCATATTGGTTCTCTTGATTATCTCTATACATAAAATTCTCATCAGTATGATTTTGTGATCTAGTAGAACGTTTGGTAAACATTTTTCATAAAAATCTATGTTTAACATTTTGGACTGACTTTTTCAAACTTCTTTTTTATATTCATGAAGATTCAAATAACAGGGCTATATTTTTCATGCTGTATCCCTCATGTCAAGACAAATATTCAGAGGCAGAAATATTGATAAGTAGTAATATCAACACACATGACACAACGACTAGTAGAAAGGGATGACACTGAGAGGACGGGATCGCGCGAAGATGCCGTCACCATCAAATTGGATTACGTCGCCGTCGCCAATCCTACACGAAGAGAGACGCAGGAAACGTCTGCCGGCGGGCAGTTGCGATTACATCGTGCTTAATCGACTAGAACGTCATAAAGGCAGCAGCTTTTCTCCACCGAGATTCATTATCAGGCGACGCGTCTACGAAGACGGGCGGAATGTAATATATTCACGTTCACGTACTGGACTTTTCAAAGATGCAAAATATGCTGCTAACTAACTTCTGGGGATAAAATCATACAGAATCCTGAGAGATAATTTTAGATGCACGCATTTTTAACGTAATTCTAGGGAATTGTTATCTGTATCTTTAAAGAAATCTAAAACTTAAAAACTTTATATATAATATTACGTCCCAAACTTTTTATAATAAATCTTATTCTGAAGGGTGAAATCTCACTCTTAAAAATTGAACATTGAGCCAATCTTTTTCAAGATTAGCTTATTTTATTTTAGTTGTCTTTAGTTTTTCTTCTATCAGGGAAGAAAGGCCCATCAGGGAATGAGGGAAAAATCTATAAGGCTTGAATTCCAGTTGAAGTGACATTTTTCGCAATAAATTCTTTATATTTAGTATTTTAAATATGCTCGTTAACATCAGTAATATTAAATCACTCGTCAATTTAATGATATTACGTACGCCTCAGTTTTAGTTTGGATTGTATTTCATGACTGACAGATAATCGGTGTGCAGTTTGCTTGAACTGGAAATTATAAACATTCACATAGAAACATTAGGTATCACGATCCTGATATTTGACCTTCATTAATTTATTTTAGAGAAAAAGGCTCTCTATTATATTAAAAACATCCTGTATAATTATATTTGATACCTTTGACGTAAACTGCTGTTCAATCAACGTGCGTGACGGTGATGAGGAAGTGCGAGCAAAATTTCTTTCTGCGATAACCGTACATCAAAGTGCAACTTTTAATCCCATCCCACAAGACTATTCAAAGTCTCCTTGTTATAGTGTATTTCAAATAAATTATCTTTATCGTGCACGACAATACAACCTTACGGTAATACAGTTTGTGCGTCGCTTCCTCGTCAACTTCCTCCTGAAACTGCCGATGCGATATTCATACTCCCGCACGCACGTTTTACGCACGC